TAAAGCTCTTCCCATTCCACCCCCTGCCACGGGCAGGGAAAGCTTCCACTATCTCAGGTTGTTCCAAGCTCTGTCCACCCTGGCCTTGGACACTTCCAGGAGCATCCACAGCTTCTCTGCACAACCTGTGCCAGGGCTGGAACCAGCACCTAGACACCACTCAGACACCACTATGGGTTTTTAGGGACAAGAGCAAAACAGATCCCTGTTATCATATGCCTGGGAATAACACAGAGATAGGGATATTTAAATAAGCCGCAGCCTTAATTTTATCACAGTAATAACAAATACTGACAGCAACATCCCAGGAATGGGATGAGTTTATCCCCAATGATTAAAACACCACATTATTCCCAATTCCTCCCATTTAGGGGGAAATCCCAGAGAAATTCTGGGGGAAAACAGTAAGAACAAGCATTTTGTGGCAAGCCTTTCCTTCTGGGACAGTCTCCTGTGCTCCAGGATCCAGGAAATGTCCAGTATTTACTGCGTGCTCATCACCATGGTTTCGGAGCACAATAAGGCTCTATCGCCCTGCATCCATCTGTGTTTCTGGGAATGCCGGGGCTTTGGGAATTGCACGGGGCCAACACAAAGGCACCCATTGTTCTAGAGGCAGAGGGACGAACCTGCCCTTTCCACAGGAGAGGAAGCCAGCAGGAAAAGTTGCTATTGTGAGCTGGATATTTTAAAAAAATGCAGAAAAAAAAAGTCTGATTGCATCGTCAGTGCTGCCGGGTCGGGAAAGGGGGATGGCTGGGACAGGGCACCTGTGGGAATGGGGACTGCCCAGGGGGAGCCAGGCACCCCCAGACAGGCTGGCACCAGCCACCTGCTAAACCATTCCAAAAACACCCAAAATCCATCCTAAATAAACCCTAAAAGCCAGACTGGCATCAGCTACCTGCTAAACCATGCCAAAAACATCCAAAATCCATCCTAAACACACCCTAAAAGCCAGGCTGGCATCAGCTACCACCTAAATCATCCAGAAATCATCCTAAACTCATCCTAAAAAACAGACTCTGGCATCAGCTACCTACTAAACCACCCAGAAACCATTCTAAATCCATCCTAAAAGCCAGGCTGGCATCAGCTACTTACTAAACCATCCAGAAAACATCCAAAATCCACCCTAAAACCACTGTAAGACCATTCTAAACCTCTTCAAAACCTACTCTAAAACCATCTGAAAACCACAGTGAAATCACCCTGAAACCACCAAGCAAATCCTAAGAGGGTGAAACTGGACCCATGCAGCTGGAGCATCACTTCCAAAGCTCCAGGTAGGAGCAGGGATGGGGAAGAGCTTTAAATCCCCCAGAATTTAATTTTCCTTTCCACCCAAAGCCATTTGCAGTGCTGGAGTTCTCCTCCAGGACTTTCCTCGGCAGGAAGAACTGCCAAAGTAGTAGGAACCAAATTGTTGTCAGCTTAAAGCCAGCCATCTGCTCAGCCTCTTCCCAGCTGCCATGCTCCCAATCAAAGCCTGGAGAACAATCCCTGATGTTTCTCACCAAGCTCAATATGAAAAAAATCTAGGAAGGAAAAAAAAAAAACAACCCAACAAACCAACAACCCCAGACCCAAAATGCAAAAAAAACCCAGAAACCAGGAAAGGAGCCCGGCAGGGATCTAACTGGGAACAGAGATGAAAGTAGGAGAAAAAGAAACTATTTTATTTGTTTAAAACAATGTTTTTGAAAGAGTCCTATTGACATCTGCTTTGTAAATGCTCTGTCATTATTTATAACCTCCAGAGCATGGAATTGTCTCTGGAGTTACAACCATGCTACTCCCAGATTTTGGCTTTGTTAGCAAAGAGCCAGCAGCATTTTTACTGGCACTCTGGGAATAGAGATCTAACATTTCATACCCAGTTTATTTAAAAGTGGACTAATTTAACATCCTTGATGGTTCCTTTTAGCACAACTGTTGCTAATTAGCAGCTCCAGAATGATTTGTTCATCTGGGAGCAGCAGCAGTTCCACGGCAGCATAAATACACCAGGGCAAAAAGAAAGGAGGGGGAAAGGAGAAAATAGGGAAGAGGCATTGGAGAAGGGCAGGTTTTGGAGAATTAAAGGAAATGAAACAACAGGTGGAGATGGGAACACTGAGGAGAAAAGAGGCAGAAAAAACAGAGTGCAAAGCGATAATCCTGGGCCTTGAGAAGCTGGAAAAATTGGTGGCAGATTCTAAAGTTGTGCAAAAGTTGAGTCTGGTGGTGTGGACTGCAAAGTGGATTCAAGACAATGATCCCAGGACTGGGACAGGCACCAGCCCCCAGTGATCCCACGGGATGCCCCAGGGCTGAAGGGATGCAGGGACAAGGAGAGGGACCTTGGCCAGGACACGACCTCAGCTGCTTTAAGTGGCCCCAGGGCACCGTGGAGGCAGGGCCGCAACCCAAAATTAAGCAAACCCAACCATAAAACATGTCAGGGGTCAGAAGGCTGAAACCAGAGTCCTTCAAGAAGGAGACCCTGAAATTTCAGAGTCCTGTTGGAGAGTGACAGGATCCAGCTGATGGCTTTGCACACAATTTCCCTTGGATTTTTTAACAAAGAGGCAGCAAAGCAGCTTTGCTGCTCCCATCCCTGCGGCTCCGTGCTCTGGGCACAGCCAGGACCATCACCCTCCCCTGGCTGCACAGAACCAGCTCTGCCCTGTCCCAAAATCACCTCTTTCACAGCAAAAGGCTTGAAAGCAAATCCTCCAAAAATAAAAAGCTTTTGGGAAAGGAACAGTGTTCTCCCTTATGTTTAGAAATCATCAAAGCCAGCCTGTTGCTGGTACCAGGATGAGCAGGACTGGAAGAGCTGGGAAGGGTCGGAGCAGCCTCCCTCCAGCCCCAGCCTCCATGCTCAGATCACTTTGGTCTTTCCCTGCACGTGTAAAAGCACTTGAAAGTTCATAAAATTAATTCCAGACAAATATTAGCGAGGCATCAAGTGGAAAGCACATCTCCTTCCTTCTGGGAATTTATAGTTCAGCCACTTTTATCTTCGGGAGGCTCTTTGGAGATCAAAGATTTGATCAACTTTCCCTTTGCGAAACTCACGAAGAAAACGGTGTTATCAGGACCACGACATGATTTTATTTATTACTTTAATGATTCATTGCCCTGCTCTGACAGCAAGATTCCTTCACAAAGGTCTAAAACAAACAGCCTGAGTTCTCCAAGGCTGTGGCTCTGTTTGTTTCTCGATTTTATGGTTGTTACAAGGTCAAGCCCTGCCCTGACAGCTCCCACTTGTTAAGTGCAGCTCTAAAACCACCACGGACAAACATGGGGCAGCCACTCGCCAAAGCCAGAGGGACACAACCTGTCACTCTGGCAGTTTTTCCCATTTCCACCACCTGCAGGGTCAAAATCCCTAATTTTCAAAAATACACAGGTAAGAATCACAGGATCAGTGAGGCTGCAAAAGGCCTCTGAGACCACAGAGTCCAACCTGTGACCAATCCCAGCCCAGAGCACTGAGCGCCACATCTGGGTATTCTTTGGACAGGGCCCTCCAGGGATGGGCACTCCAAACCTCCCTGGGCAGCCCCTTCCAAGGCCTGAGCACCCTTTCTGTGGAGAAATTCCTCCTGATGTCCAACATGACCCTCCCCTGGCACAGCCTGAGTCCATTCCCTCTTGTCCTGTTCCTGTTCCCTGGGAGCAGAGCCTGACACCCCCCAGCTGCTCCCTCCTGTCAGGAGTTGTGCAGAGCCAGAAGGTCCCCCCTGAGCTTCCTTTTCTCCAGGCTGAGCCCCTTTCCAACTCCCTCAGCTGCTCCTGGGGCTCCAGACCCTTCCCAGCTCCATTTCCCTCCCAGGACTGGATAAGGGTGGAAGTGCTCTGCATTTCTGGAGTGACTCAACTCTGAGCATCCAGGGAACATCAGGGAAGTCAGGGAAAGGAATGCCAGTCATGAAAGAACAACACTGGGCACAAGGGTAATGAGCAAAACCCTTGTTAGACACCAACATTCAGCCTCCCTATCTCTCCTCAGCAGCTCTCTGCACATCTGGCAAGGCAGAGGCAGCCTGAGGGATGAAGTTAATCCCTCCCAGCATCTGCCAGCAGCCTTCCATCAACTCTGCTCGCCTCCAGTGGGAACTTGCTACTACACAAGCAACTGGTGAAGACACTGGGATAGATTTCAAGGAGACTGGGAAAAGGACTGGGATGCTGCCTGAGCCATCTGAGCACCAGAGCGACACCAGCTCCAAAACTGAGAGCCCACACTGGGCTGGAATCACTCAGGGTGTCTGTACCAAATGCATCAGACTTGTCAGCATTCCGGGCAAGAGGAATCCAGGGAGTTTCACCAAGCTCTTTCTTGGAGCTGAGCCACAGGGAAATGCTTCTTGACTGTGAAACTGCAAATGTTTCAGGGGAGATGGGAAATTCACAGAGCTGGACTGGAAAACTAATGGTGATAATGGAGTAAGGACTCGGGCACAGAACCTTTCCAGAATCCAGTCCTTTCTCTGCTCCCATAAAAGGGCATCTGTTCTTTCCTGTAATAGGGAAGCATGAGAGCTCTTCCAGGAGTTCACACTCCTGTCCTTGTGTCATGGCAATCATGGAAAGGCAGGACTGGAAATCAAATTCCTCACAAAGAAATCAGGAACCTTTCTGCTCTTCTAATCCAAGCTTTGTACAACTTGGCCTTCCCTTCACATGGGCTTTGGCCCCACCTGAGACTCCACAGCAACTCAAAACCCCCTTAAGGCAGTCACCAGTGTGGGATGCAGATGTTCCCAGCTGTTTGTTGGATTGTGAAAAGCTCCTTGATGATTATAAGCAAAATTGGGTGTGCCAAACAACAAATAAGGGTGAACAATTACAAATTAAAGCCTTAAATGAGCACAGTTCTAGGAGTCAAGGATGGAATTCCTAAGCAGCATTAATTCACACAAGTCCTACAGCTGCAGAAATCAGAACTCCTGGAATTCCTCATCTGGGTGGGAACCAAAACCAGGGAGACACTGAGCAGGACTCACCGTCGGGCCCTTCGCTGCCTTTACTCCTTTTATTCCGACGGACGCGTCTCCCTTCTTCTCCAACATGCAGCTTCTCCTCGGGGTGGAAGAAGTTCAGCAAGGCCAGCTGTAAGGAGAGGGACAAGTTTAAGCATCTTTGCACAGACAGTTCAGCCAAGCTGAGAGACTGGAGCCTAAATGCCAAATCCTTTTCAGCAGGGATGAGCGGGAGAGCCAAGGAGGATGCGAGATGGCTGCTCATGGATCTCAGCTCACCCCAAGTCCCCTTGGAAGTGGTCTAGGACTTGGGAAAACTCCACCTGAGAGGTTTCAGCATGGAGACTCCTTCTCCCAGAGATGGGGGACTGCAGGCCAGGGCTGCAGGGAAACCTATGACTTGAAATAATCAAACAACTCAAAGGCTGATGCGATAATTCCTAATTTTTCTCTGCAAAACTTGAGCAATCCTGGGTCTCCTTCTCCAGCATTACTCACTGCCAGTAAGTTTTGACTCTCTCAACCTCTTCTCTGCAAGCCTCATTAGCTACTGAGATTCAAAGGTCTTCAGGGACCTTTAAATCCAACCCAATATACCACATAAATTAACACTTTAAACCTACAGCAACATTTGTAACACGAGATTTGCCAGGAGGCAAAAGTTTTATGTAGAGACCTCTTATTCAGGAAAAAATTACTGCTGCCTTAAAAACTTTTTAACAGATCAATATCCCGACCCAGAAATTGGAATTTGGGGTTAGAAACCAGAATCCCAGCTACCCCCGCGTGCGGCAGCTCATCACCAGCGGCATTTTCCTCTTATTTCCACTTCATAAAAAAGGAAAGTCAAAGATCAATTAGGGACCAAACACCTTCTGTGTGTTACTGCATCCAATAGCCAGGGCTGCTCCGACTAGGATGGGGTTTCTTGCTCAAGAAACCTGATCTGCTTATTTCAGCTGTAAATACACAGCAAAACAAAAACACAGCCCAAGACTAGAACCAGGAGGCTTCAAAAAGCAGCCCCAAAGGTTATCGAACCCATCATTGTTCTGGGAACAAAACCTGGGGCATCAAAAGCATCTTTGAAAGAGCAGAGAAGAACAAACACCTCCCCTGAATTGCTGGGCTCGTTAAGCTCCAGCCCATAAAAGTCCCCATCAAGAGCAATAATCGCAAAAGGCCCTTGGCTTTTCACAAGCCCCAGGGCCCTCACCTCCCCTCTCCCTCGCATTCCCAAGGTATTTCCCAAGCACAGCTCCCCTCCCAGCCTCAGCATCCCAGTCCTTCAGATTTTACATCTGCATTTGGCTTTACTCCAAGCAGTCTCACCAATCAAAATGTTTGGAAACCCTTTAGTTTCCAAATAAGAACCCCCAAAGCTTTTCTCAAATTCCCAATCTGCTGTTATTTCCTGCTGCCCCTGTGCAGGCAAGTCTGCAAAATTCCTGGGCGTTTGTCACTGAAACGATGTCGTGACTGAAAAGACCCTGAAACGCAGTGGGATGATCTGGGATCAGCTTCCCAAATTCTCGTTACTGGGCTTTTAAACATCCTTAAAAGGCAGCGATGAGTAAAGCTCACCTGCCTGAGGAAGGCCACTTACAGGGCTGGATGGACAACTGAAGGCTCTCGTTTACAACAAGGAATAAAGGGCGAGAACAATTCCCAAAGCACCACGTTCCCAAAGCTCCCTCATCCCACTGCACTGCCCCAGATGTGGAACACTGGAGCAGGATGCTCCTGCAGGCACCACCAGCACCTTTCCTGACACCATAGCACAGCCAGGGAAGAGAAAAAGTGATTTTTCTCTTTAAACCCCTTATTTAACTCATGTTGAGACACTGCAGAACTAATTGCAGGAACAAATTGCATTATAATTTGTATTAAAGCGTCAATGAAATCCTCAGTGTGGCTTTGGAATGCTGTTATTGCCTGGATCATTACTGGAGTTTTACAGAACAGGGTAATAGAGGCTGCAATAGAAATAGAGGCTGTTCCTCCAGGCTGAACAACCCCAACCCCACTGCCCTGCTCCAGGTTTTAACCTAATGTCACTTGCCACTGACCACTCAGAAAAACACTAAATTTTGGCTAAAAGTAATCTGTCCAATAAACTCTGTATTTCTAGTCAGGAAGAAAAATGACAGTGAGGGTGAATGACTGCATCACAGCTTTTACTTAGAAAACAAACCCATAAAAGCAGCCTGTGACTCTAACTGTGCACACAGCAGCTGCTGCTTTGGGACACCTCCCATGACACCGTGTTTTCCAGGAGCAGTGACACACGAGCAGAGAGAGGGGCCCACGCCCAGGGTGCACCTTCCACAGTGCTGTGAATTATCCAACAACAGCACTGACCCTCCAGTGACTGGCACGGAGGGCTCAGGGGTCCTGCTCGGGATGGAGGGAATGCTCAGATCCCTGGCAAGGTCAGGGGCAGGGAAAGGGTGACCAAGCCTCTTGCAGCCACCCAAGCTCCCAAAGGCCAAGTGCCTTTCTGGGGACTCAAGGGCCCTGTTGTTCCAGGGCTGCAGCTGCCCGAGGTCAGGGATGCTCGGCCATGAAGAGCCTGTCTGTGTCCGGCTGGGAATTGCGGTGCTTTTTCCATTCACCACCCCTGAGACAGCAGTGATATATTGGGAAGAAATTCCTCCCTGTCAAGCCCTGGCACAGGGTGCCCAGAGAAGCTGTGGTGCCCCTGGATCTCTGGAAGTGTTCAAGGCCAGGCTGGACATTGGGGCTTCCATTGGGATAGTGGAAGGTGTCCCTGCCCGTGACAGGGGGTGGAATAAAATCATCTTCAAGGCTCCTTCCTTCCTCTGCATCAACCCTGGGCTCATGAGGCATGCCAGCTGTGCCACTTTCTGGGGAATTCCAAAAGGAATTCTTACCTAGTCCATGATTTCACTGAAACTCCTCATCCTCAAAGTCACAGAGAACTGATTCTCTCACCTTGTGCACTTTTAGAGCCTGAGAATTTTTCAGGAGTCAAGCACACACAGCTTCTTTTTTGGGAGCAGGTATTTTCCCTGCACAGTCTAAACAATCCCCATTTCCCTCCTTCTCCAAGCTAAAGCTCTCAAATCACCCTTAATTTTAGAAACACCGTGGGTTTAATCAAGAGAATCACTATAGGACGCAAAAAGGTCAAATAGCCAACACAGGAAAATATCCCAGGGGAAGGCATTCCTCAAAATAACCTGGGAAACAATAGCACAGGCACTGCTCGCCGGAGGGAATCGGATCTGCCTCGGTTTCTCTGGGCAAAATAAAGCAAAACAAAGGCACACAGAGCTGGTTTTCCCTGCAGAACCTGCCTGGGAACGTTGGACAAAGCTGCTGGAGGATGGATGTCAAGGGAGCACAGTGGGAACTGCCAAAATAACAGGGCCTCTCAAACTCATCTGTAGGATGGACATTCCACACTCCACGCAAGTAAAGGACAAAGAAAGGTATTATAATTTTTCTTAAAATAAAATATTATTTGTTACTCCAGGCCCTTGTCAAAAGTCTCTTGAAGAGCCACTGGACACCAAGGGAATGTATTTCCAAAGGTCAAACAGCTTCAAAGGAAGAAAGTGGAAAAATATAACTCACCCCATGCAATTACGCACAAAGGGTGGATTTTTCCTTAGGCTACGTTGGTAGGAAGAACAAGTGTATTCTTCCTGTAGAAGGGAAGAACACCCAAGCCTTCAGGTGTACAAGGCCTTTTGGGTGAAAAGTGAAAAAAACCTGAAGATTTTCTGCCTCTAACAGCTCCCAATTCCTCCTGACAAAGCAAATCCAGCAAAAGATCTCATCCAGATACCACAGCTCAATCTCTTAAAGCACCTCAGAAAAAAACCATGAACTCACCCTCTTGCACAGGATAGTTAAAGTCAAATTCCCTCTTCCTTTGCAGTTTGGGAGATCAGCAGTGTGAGGAGCCTAAGAAGCAGCCCAGGCTCTGCAGCAGCATTCTCTGCAAGCAATATTGTTGTTTTTCTGGTGCTCTAAAGTTCAGCCTGTGGTTCAGAGGAGCAGCTACTTGAATATCAACCCCATTGTCCTCCAGACCTTCGCCTCTGGTCACGCGTGGTGCAAAATAAAGTGATCAAGTAGATAATTTATATTCCACCAGCTAGGAAAGAAGCTCGAGGAGTAGCTTTGCTTTATTGAAAAGAAACCCCATCCCACATATTTTAAGAATTGTTTTTGTAGTCATTTCTTGCTCCTCATAAAAATGCAAGGAGCAAACGAGGGAACAATTCCCATTTCAACGTGACAGAACTTTGACACCGTGTCTTGTCTGCAGGACAAGCCACAGCCCTGCCTACAAAACTTGTGGAATGTGGTCAATACCATGAGGGGAGAGCAGAGATGGAGAGAGCAGAGGTGGTACAACCTCCACTACCCACCTTCCTCCCCAAACCCGGTACTCCCAGCTGGCTGTGGGAATCCTTGCCATGGCTCTGCAGCAGGTTCCACACCATAACAAACCCCTTCCCTCAGCTTTTTCTGTGTGAAGCTCCAGTTTGGTCCTCACCTTCAAGATGCCCAAAACTCCTCTGGTCCCTGTTGGTTCATCTCTGTCCTCCTTCCCTCCCAATGCCAGACACATTCCTGCTCTATCCAGCTGTTCATCCCAAAGCCCAAGATGCCAGAGGCACAATCCTTCACCCTGGAGTTGATACAAAATTCCAACTCTTCCACATTCCAATCTGCACTCAAGGATCTTAACTGGTTTTCAGACACAACTTCAAAAGCATTTTCCACCCAAAGCTGCTCTATAATCCCAAAACACCAGCGATGCAGGGAACGGGTTGGGCTCGATGATCTTGAAGGTCTTTTGCAACCTTGTGTTTCTGAGATTTTGTGATTTTTGAGCTCTGGCCCAGGCAGGAGCTGTAACAGCAGAGCCACCTCCCTCCCAGCACTTGTGAGGAGCTTCACAAAAATGACAGCCAAGGAGTCAAGGGAGTATTTGACCACTAGAACACAGAAATAACCTTGGAGATGGACCATGGAATGCCATGGCCTGGGGCACAGCACCTGCCAGCAGGCAGGAGCTCCAATCCCAGCACATCTACACCCTGAACATGCCACCAGCACTTTTGGGAACAGGATTTGAGATGCTGCCAACAT